CCAAGGGTAGGTTTTCACATAAACTCTGAATTGGTGGAAATTATTCAAAATGATATATAGTTAGCTATACATAATAAAGTATTCGTAACTGAGACTATACCAAGATCCTCGGTAAAAACAGAAAATACAATGCTGTTCAAAACAGGTAATCGAAATCTCCCGGAAAATTATCATAACGATTTCTCTGGTTAATTCTATAATGAAAATATTCACCCACATAATTCTAGATAGATTGATCATGTGGTGTGATGAGATAAAAGCTGTCTCTGAAGCACAATCTGGGTTTCGAAAAGGTAGAAGCTGTCCCTGAAGCACAATCTGGGTTTTGAAAAGGTAGAAGCTGTCTGGATAATCTGTTCAATTTGAACATTTTAATTCAGATACAGCTCGGATTGCGCAGAAAAAGCTTTTTTGCTTTGTTCATTGACTTTAAGCAAGCCTTTGATTTGCTCAATCACAATTTGTTATGGCACTCTCTACACGATCTGGGTATAAGTAATAAAATTATTAGAATCGTAAAAAATATTTACCAGAATGCTACAGCTAGAGTAAGATGTAACAGTATATTCTCGGACGAAATAGAAGTCACACTTGGCCTGCTGCAGGGAGAAGTATTATCGCCTTATTTATTTAGCCCATACATCAGCGATATAGAAGCATTTTTCCAGAGCTGAAATGTAGGAGGTGTTAGGATAAATAGTTTATGTGACAAACTATTGCTTCTCTACGCAGATGATTTGATTATTGTAGCCGACAGTTACACTGATGCTAAAATCAAGCTAAATATTTTAAGCGAATATTGCTTTTATTTGCTACTTTTATTATATGATTAAAAAGTTAGAAGTTAATACCGAGAAAACTAAAATATTATATTTCCACAGAGGCGGATGTAGAAAACTTGGGAAATCATTTTATGAAAATGTAGAAATTGAAAAAGTTCCTGAGTACATTTATCTAGGTATACCATTTTCGGACTCAGGTTTGTTCCACAAAGCCACAAAGTATTTTGAATAAAAAACTAAGGCAGCAATAGGCTCCGTAATAGGGATTTGAGCAAAATCAAAAATCAGATCGTGGGAAAACAAAATTAAAATCAATAACGCCATAACAATGAGTCTTCTTTACTACAATGTACAACTGTGGGGCTTAAGATATATTGATAGGCTGGAGAGTGTAAGTTTAAACTTTAATAAACGTTTATTCTCCATATATAAAAATAAGCCTTTTTCGATAATGAGACTGGAATTCAACGTTCCTCACTGTTCCGTTGCAATATTAAAATTCATGCTTTCATGGGTGCTAAAAATCCTTAAAATGAAAAATGACAGATATCCTAAAATCTGTTTTGATAAATTGAAAGAAATGTATAATGGTAACAAAACGGATAAAAAATTCAATTGGTTATATCAGCTGCACACTCTGTTATGCACTGTAAATAAATAATTTATTTTGGAATTAGAAGAGCCAGGTGCATTACAGGTAGAATTAAATGAAACCCTGATCCTATTTAAAAGCTATATGGAGGAGCGCGATAAACAAATACTGATCTCCCCCACTAGGTACAGCCCATCTTATCCTATCGTGTTTAAAGAGTGCGAAAAGCATCAATCTTATCTTGCGTTAAATGCCCCGTTCATACGTTCATAAATGCCCCATAAAATGTTGACTCCTTTAGTAAACTGTTTTATTATACAAAACAATGTTGTAGGATAAAATCATTTATTGTCAATGAATGACAGTACAATAATTTTGATTAGATTTTTATTATATATACAGTGATGGAAAAAGGTATTTGCACAACACGTTTTTATGAATAAAGTAGTTCAAGGAAACAAAAAACTTCGCTTTCCTTTGCAAAAATGAAAAGTAAATTTATTAAAAACTGAAAAAACCTTTTTACAAAAAAATAAAAACACTTCATAATCAAACAAAATAATTAAAACAATAAAAGTGCTTGGAAAAAAGTATTTGCACACTTCCACATTTACAAGTTTATTTTAAATTTTAATAGTTTTAATATTTTGTAAATAGGCCATTTGTGTCAATAATTGCTTGTAGACGCCTGGGCATTGAATGCACTAGATTTTTAATTAAATATACGTTTATTTGTTGTTTAAGGTAATGTCCACTAGTGATATGGTGTTTTCTTACATTTTGGTCAAGGGTGTGCCATAAATTTTCAATGATATTTATATCTGGTGACTGAGGAGGAGTGTGGAGCTGTCTTGGAACATTAAATATTAACCACTCCTTTGTTCTCCTCGCAGTATGTTTTGGATAGTTGTCCTGCTGGAAATTGTACTGATCCTGGCTTCCCATTTTTTTGGTACTAACACGCAAATTACGTTGCAAAATGTTCACATAGCCTTCCGCATTTAAAATGCCTTTGATGCTCACAAGATTTCCCATGCCATAGTAGGAAACACATCCCCAAACCATAACATGTCCTCCACCATGCTTTACAGCTGTTAAAACATTTTGCTTCTTTAGGGCTTCATTATGATGTCGCCATATCGTCCTTCGACCATCTGAACCAAACAAATTAAATTTGCTTTTGTCAGAAAAGATGACAATTTCCCAAAAGCTTAAGGGTTTCTGTACGTACTTTCTAGCAAAAGCAAGGCGCTTTTTGCGATTCGTTTCACTGATGTATGGCTTCTTTCTTGGAACTCTACCATGGAGCCCTTCCGAATTCAGGGCATATCTAATTGTTCTGCTAGTAATCTGAACTCCAGATGTTGATTGGACCATGGTAGCCAGCTCCCGAGAACTTATCAGAGGATTTTTAAGAGCTTCTTTTCTAATTTTCCTCTTCAGCCTGGGAGTTAACTTTTTTGGACGCCCTTTACGCTCACTGTTTTCAGTTGAACCACGTTCTTTGTACCTTTTTATGACGTATATCTCACTATAGAAAAATTCAACCCTAAGAAATCGGCAATTTAGCGATATGTTTTTTGCTGACTCCTCAGTGAAACAATTTTTTTGTGAGTTGCGGCTCACAGTTCACTTGTCTTTGGCATGATAATTGTCTATTGACTAAAGGAAACTGATTGAAAGACTAGAGAATACTGGTAATAAATGTTTAGAGATAAATTAGTAAACAAACCTATGACCTATGGACACAGGAGGATTAATGCCAAAGTAAACAGAGCTTGTGAGTCATAGTGTGCAAATACTTTTTTCCAAGGACTTTTATTGTTTTAATTTTTTTGTTTCATTATGGAGTATTGTTATTTTTTCCCAAAAGGTTTTTATCAGTTTTTAACAAATGTGCTTTTCATTTTTGCAGAGGAAAGTGAAGTTTTTTGGTTCCTTGAACTCATTTATTCATAAAAACATGATGTGCAAATACTTTTTTCCATCACTGTATATATATATATATATACTTTTACCTGTTTATCTTTAATTTGAAGGACTCCTTGTCTTAGGCTGATTTCTTATTGGACTGTTATAACCTATATAATGTTATATAATATATATATATATAATGTCTTTTTCTTTTTTCTTACAACAAAATTATGTAAAAACTGTAACTTTAGAGGAATATATGTATATATTTTTTTCTTATTTGTTTAATATATATTATTTAATGTCTTATTTAAATGTAGTAAAATGTATCACTGGGTGTTTACAAATGATTTATATTGGTTTGTGTATTTATTATTATTATGGATTGTTTTTCTTTTTATTATTGTATACTATTATATTACATTTTGTTAATGGTTGTTGTTCAAAGAGATGTTGACACTTGCAACCCGAAGCATTGTTAGCTTTTTCATTATCTCCTTTGTATATATTACTGTTAATGGCCAACTCTATTTGTATGGGTATTCCCCGAAAACAAATAAATTATTATTACTATTATTATAATAAATAATATTTCTGCCATGAGCCGGGATTCGAACCTGTGACCTTTAGCAATGGAACCTCAGTACCCTACCACTGAGTTCCCACCCCACATCAACTTAATTAATATGAACTTAAAACTTATTGAACGAAGAGGTTTTTCTAAAATTGAGGTAAATGTAGTACAGTTGAAGGATGATAAAACAAATCACAAAAAATTTATGATTTTTTTTAACAGAATTTAATTGTGTTTGTCCACTCAAACGTCCTCTTTAAAATAGTTTTAACAATGACAAACTCTACTTTCATTTAAAGTAAATTATGTCTAGTTTACTATGGAGAAATGTTTAATCACATAAATCAAATATTTTTTAAGTTATTACGTCCTATTCAACAAAAAACGTGACTCACTTCAAAAAACACAAATCTTAAATTTCCTACTTTTCTGCTAGAAATTGAACAATTGTTTATATGAACTTTTTTGTAGATCTTGATGTCTTATATCAACCTTTTAAATATTTTCTCTACTTATGGGACATCCTCATAGGGGCAGAAAACGAAGGAGTGAAGGGGACATCGCCCCAAATAAAAATGTTGAGGGGGTAAGAATATCGTTTCGCTCCCTAATAATCCGAGGTAAAAAACATTGAAATCAATAATTAATAAGCCACACGAATGAATAAAATATGTAAACTAAAACCGATTAAGAAAATTTGAATAGCTGGGGCATAGTAGGTTTGTATCTATTTTATTGATATCTACTTTCACATTACTTTTATTTAAACTGTCATTTATATTCAAAGATAATAATATATAGCGACATATCCTAGGATTTTATGATTCAATCACCCCTCAATTTTCATATGATATTCTTATCACATTTTCGGTGGCAAACTAGTCGGACTTATCAATTTGCAAAAAGCTTTGTAACGCTCTTTTAAGCGAACCGCTGGATCGATTTTTAAGTTAAATGCATCATATTATTCTTTTAGATCCCCTGAGTGTTTTGAAACGATTTGAGCTAAAAATACTGATCCGTGAATAAATAAAATCTGCATTGCCAAAAGGCAGGGAAGGATGATAATAAATAAAGGTACACATTCACTGGTGTAGTTTTCAAACAAAATTTACATCTAATATACAAGAAAAATTACCTGTAAACGTGCTGTATTAGAATGAGTGTCCATTAAATGCTTGAAATAAATTGGAAAAATATTTTCTTCTATATACATGAAGTTAAGGAGCTCAAACTTCTCAAACTTTGAGGTAAATAAACATAAATTGTATAAATCATCAATTAATTTTAAAATTTTTTCATTGGCATCAGAATCTATAAACGGGTAGTCATTTGTCAAAGTTAATGCCAATTGTACTAGTAAAATTCGGTCTTCTGAACAGGAGCCATAAAGTAATCTTTCTGCAAGAATTAGAGAAGAGTAAGCATCCATATACTTTTCTTGATAAGAAAACTTGAATACTTCTTTCTGAAAATAGAAATTTTTCAAAATTAAAATTAATCAAGATCAATAACCAATTATTAATAACTATTGATTGAACAATGAACTAGCATAAAGTATCACATATTACATATTCTCGTTAAAGAATATTTCATTAAAATGCTTGAATACTTCAATATATCAAATAAACAAATAGCTTGAATAATTTATTCTATAATATGAGAGATTCAAATTTTACGAAAAATAATTATAATTAAAAAAGACTATATATATATATATATATATATATATATAGTATAATATATATACGAATATATATATATACGAAAAATAATTATAATGTAGTATTTATAGTATTTTTTAATTATAATTATTTTTCGTAAAATTTGAATATATATATATATATATATATGTATATATAATAATAATAATATATAATAATAATAATAATTATAATAATAATAATAGAAAATAACTTTATTCTGGGACAAAGTCCCTTTAGAATAACAAAATAGCACATAATTAAAAGACTACATCTGGCCAAAATAAAACAATAATAAAAAAGAGAAAGTAAAGAAAATATTAGTTAAACAAGCTATATACAAAAAAAAATCTATATACAAAACACTTAAAACTATGCACATTTGGAAAAATTATAATTATACACTTTTGAAAAATAAAATAATAAAAAATACATTGAGTTCTTCTTTAAAATGAGGTGTGTTTTTGCTAACAAAGGAAAGACAAAAGCTGACAATATAAAATTTCAGAGTCTTTAAATAATTAATAATATGTAGAAACATCATTGTCTAATTCTAACTATAGGTACAAATATAATTATATAAGAATAAAAAATAATAAAAAACAAACAATAGATGCATTCAGTGGCATTAAGAGCAGGAAGATATTGTAACATCCCTAGTGAACTTTACAGTATAGAATAGTACTATTGTTTGATGATGAATGATATAATAGAAATGTATAATATCAAAAGTTTAGCAAGCATCTGACTGTTTTTGGGATAGGAATTGGAATAAGAGGGTTTTGAATGTGGATATGGAGGAGGAATGCCGAATTTTGATAGGTGGGGAATTCCAGAAATTGACAGCAGAAGCTGTAAAGGAGTTTTGAAATGAGGCAGATCTGTGAGAAGGGAAGTAGAGGTCAGAAGGTCGAGATCTTGTTGAAAGGGAATGGACTGAGGACTTGAATTGGAGAAGGTTGTAGGCGTAAGAAGGATGATGTTTGTTGATGATTTGATAAAGGAACGTACCTAGGAAATATTGTCTTCGAAAGGAGGGGAAGAGCCACCTTAACTCAGTGTAGTGGTGAGAGACATGAGAGTATACACTACACAGCTGTAGTCAAAGTGGGAGAAGATGAGAGAGGAAATTAGGAGTCTACGGGTATGTTGAGGTAGGAGATGGCGGAAGCGATGAAATAGTTTAAGGGTAGAAATTGTCCAACGGGAAATGTGAGAAACATGGTTGTTCCAGGAGAGGTTTTGATCTATGAAAAATCCTAGATTTTTAACAGAGGAGTTGAAGGAAATTGGCTGGTCATTAAGGTATAATATGGGAAAGTCGGTATGGGATCTAATAAGGGGGTTGGAACCAATGACAATGGCTTGGGTTTTGGCAGCATTTAGCTTTAATCCATTTATATTTCCCCAGGCACTGATTCGATCAAGGTCTTCTCGAATCTTGGCAAATGCTACCAATAACTCAGGGGGAGAAAAGGATAGGTAGATCTGGGAATCATCTGCATAAAGGTGGTGGGAACAATGGAGAATTGAATTATGTAGGTCGTTAATGTAGGAGCTGAAAAGGAAAGGAGATATGCTTGAACCCTGGGCAACTCCAGAGGATAAAGGAAGGTAGACAGATAGTGGTTGATTGGGTATGGAGACTGCTTGGGTGTGTTGGGAGAGGAAAGATTGGAACCAAGAGATGGAACTATTGGAGAAAGATAATGATTTTAATTTGTTGAAGAGGATGGAATGGTTAATGCTATCGAAGGCTTTGGAAAAGTCGAGAAGTATAAGGACAGTTAATTTTCTATCATCTATTGCAGATTGAATGTCGCTGGTAATTTTAATTAAGGCAGATTGTGTGGAATAGCCGGGACAGAAACCAGATTGGAGAGGATCAAATTGGTTGGACTTTTCGAGGAACTTGGAGACTTGAGATTGCAACAGACTTTCAAGAGGCTTTGAGAGGTTAGAAAGATTTGAGATTGGACGGAAATCTTCTGGCAAGAATGGATTAGGCTTTTTATTTAAAGGAAGAAAAATGGCTTTTTTCCAAGAGGTAGGGAATACAGAATTCTGAATGGAGAAATTGTAGATAAAAAGGAAAGCTGGGAGGATTTCTGGGAGACATATTTTTATTAATTTGACAGGGATGCCGTCCGATCCTATGGAAGTGGTGTGGGATTTCATTACTGCGGTTAACAGGTCTATGGGAGAGATGTCGGAAAAATAAAAGTTATTGTCGTTAAAGGATATCTCTGGAGAAAAGGCGGAAGAGGACGGTAGAGAAGAGGTATTAGCGACAGATATAAAATAAGAGTTTAAATCATCGGAGGATACAGGAAAGGCTGCGGTAGGGGATCTGGAAGGATTACAAATGGAAAGTTTACGAAGCACTAGCCATTTCAATTTGATATCAGGAGCTGAGGAAAGGGTTTCATGGAAGTAGGTAGCTTTCGCGCAGCGGATCCTTGTCTGTGCCAAGTTGCAAAGCATCCTGAACGCTTGGTAGTCATCTGCAAGCCTAGTACGTCTAAAACGTCTTCGGGCAGCGTTGCACCTCTTCTGCTGATCTTTGATTTCCTGACACATCCAAGGAGCAGGCCAGTGACGAAAGGTAGAGGTTTTGAGGGGAGCATGGGTATTGAAAATATTGAGAAGATTGGTGGTAAGAATGTCAACCATGGAGTCGATAGAAGAGCAAGACTATATTCCATCCCAATCTAGGGTTTCTAGGTCAGGTAATATTTTTTCTTGAGTAAGGGTATCTAGGTGATGGAAGATGATAGTTTGAGGCTGGATTGAAGGAGTTCGGATATTATATGTTATTTGTATAAGATCGTGAGATGATGGGAAGGATACTGACAGTTGAGAAGAGGAGAGGAGATTTTGTGCAGAGTCTATAATGTAGAAGTCTAGTCAAGTGTCGGACCTGCTGGTATGATGAGTGGGGAAAATGGAATGATGAAGAGGTGCAGAGAGAAAATTAAGTTTTCTAGATAGGATTTGTCATTGGAGTTAGAGAGGAAATTGGTATTGAGGTCACTAGAGATGATTATTCTGGGATATAGAGGAACGAAGTTGAATAGGGTTGATTCAAAGGACTGATCAAATGGAACATGGGAAGGACGATATCAGAGAGTAAGGAGAGGAAGATCCTTACAATGGATTTCTACTAGAAGGTATTCAACTTGTGGATGATCGGAGGGTGGTGAGGAATTGAGGATTCGAGTCTTCAGGCTATTATGGACAAACATGGCTACTCCTCTGCCATTATGGCTTACCCGGTCATGACAGAGGAGGGTGTGATTAGGCAAGGAAACAGAAGAGGATGGGATGTAAGGCTTAAGCCAAGTTTCGGAGATTGCGAATGTGATAAAAGTTTTGAGTGAAATATTGCAGGAACTCGTCATAGTGGGCAGGGAGGGATTGAGAGTTAACATGACAGGTGATTAGAGTACTAGACATGAGAGGAATTGGGAGGGAAACAGTCAGAGTTTGGTAGAAGAGAGAAACTCTAAAACAAATAGAAAATACAAAAAGGCGTTTACAATTAATGAAAATAACAGAAAAGAAAGTGTAAGCAGAAACCAAAAATAAGAAAGGTGTGGTCAATAAAATAAAAATTAGTGTGTGAATATGAAGAAATATCTCTATGCGTAGAAGTGAAAATGTTATTTTTTAGATAATTGAGAAGTTATTTTAATGAGGATGAGGAGTAGACGAATTCTTTGTGGTCAGGCAAATATATCAAGGTCCGAAGCCTGTTCAATCAGAATAACATTATGCCCGTCCTCTCTCCGACATTGCACCTTTCCGGATGCAAACCACGTATATTTGATTTCTCCCACAGCTCTCTTCTGTCGGGCAAGCCAATATAGGTGTCTGTTCGTGGGAGTCATTTCCTCACTCAGATATATCCGGTGACAGTCATTTTGCTACCAGCCGATATCTCGAGTAGTGAGGTCCCTCTTGACTTTTCTCTTGGTTATTAAGTAATCTCTGACTGACTGTTTGACAAAGCACGAGATGACATGTGGCGGTCGTGGGTCATCTTTTCTTCTTCTGCGGCGATGTGCTATGTCCAAGTCACCTGCACTGAGCCTGATGCCCAAACTTGCTCCAATGGTGGTCACGAGCGCGGTGGGCGTTTCGCCCGCTTGTTCCGGTATCCCTCGGATCTCCAGTGATCTGTATAACAGGCCCTGCTCTGCATTATTCAGGCAGACCTCCAGTTTACCCACTCGAGATTTTAGGACTTTATTTTCCAGAATCATTTTTTTCTCAGTGTTGGGTTTTTTGGTCTGGTCACAATTAGGGCATACCCATGTTTTTTTGTGTGCTTTTAAGGCTTCAATTTCTTTTTCACTTAGAGTGAGGCACCTACCGTGAAAAATAATTTTGCATTTTACACAACATAGATTGTTTTTGTCTTCGTCTGCAATAGTATTATTGCAAATATTACACTGCACCATATTTAATTAAAATAGATCAATTAAGATATAAATAAATACCGTAAGAGAGTTGTTTTGATGAAATCAGTAAACATTGTTGTCTAATGCCATAAGGATTAGTAGACGTTTACACTCTCGTAGCTCCTAGAACTCAATTGGATTCACGACACTTTCTTTAAGTAGATAAAAGTGAATATATTACACTAATCACAGTAAATACAGGGCATTATAAGACCTGTAAAGTGACATCAACGGAGATAAGATCTAAATGGTATTAAAGACCACTTAATTATACAGTGATAAACTGAGTTTAATCAAAATCATTAGAGCCGTTTTGGAGAAAATTCTGAAAATGTGTTTCACCTTTGATATAAAGTGCCACTTCCGGTTAGCCAATTTTAAGGAAAAAGTTGCTAGGACATCTAAGGCATATACCTATCTTAAATACGTAATATCAGTTTCCTACAACTTTTTGTTTTCGAGCTAGAGTGTTCACAGACACACAGACCATTTTTCGGGACTTGGTTATTTGGACTCAGGGTACCTCAAAACGTGTGTTTCCATTACCTCAAAATTACCTCAAAACTCAGACTCGAAAATTTTCACGATCGCAATACTCTTACTATATATTACATATATAGGTAAGTGAAAGTAAAAATGAGAATGATTATATGAGTTTCAGATTCATAAATGTATTCAAAATTAAAATATGTTTAGGTTAGGGTCAAATCTGCAGAAAAAACAATTCATTTAGTGCAGTCATAGTACAATATGTTTCAACGTATGGTACACAATATAATAACTAATTAACATTATTAAATAACAAAATATATTATAATGACTTTTTATTTTTGAAAAATATTAAAGCATTAGTTGAGAACAGTGGCCGATCTTAATGTGCTTGAGATTGTGAATTGTACTAAATAGGTATGTCAGCTAGGAAGGCTGGAGGATGTTTTAACATTTTTATGTTAGGATATTTTAAATGGAATATTTGAATTAATATTTCTTATTTTATTCATGTTATAATGAACAATTGTGAATGACTATACATTCTTTATAGGGTTATCATATTACTCTCAACAGCAAAGATCTTCTGTAACACTCTCAATAACTAGGTCTGTCTTTTTGTGAGGAGTGGGGGTGGCAAAATTAAACTATATAAACAAAGTTATTATAAAAATATTGAACATTTAACATTAATTAGGTAAGTGTCGATATATTCCTGAAAGCATTACAGTCTGATGTTGGGGGTCTGACCTGAACTATGGACCAGTTACAAAGTTTTTGTTTATTTGATTTATTTATATAAATTATTGCTATAGAAATTTAATTTCACCAATAAATTTCTGAATTGTTCCTGAAGACTTTATACTAAGCATAAAAAAAAAAAAAAAAAATTTACCTTTACTTTGAGAATCATCGATAAAATCTGCATCACTCGTTTTTGAAAAATATGGTTGATTTGTTTCGCTATTTCAGGGCTATGTCTATTGAAAATGGACTGAATTCCTTTGAGTAATTCAATTAGTTTACAAACATTCAATACTAACATTTTTGTCATTGGTCTCCCATGCATTCCATGTAAATGCAGTATATTATCAATGTAAAATTTCATTTGGTCAGTGAGCTGCAAACCCTAGTAAAAAATGGAATAAACAGAATATATTTAATTTTAAAAAATAAGTAAAAACAAAACAATACAATTTGTCTTAATCATTTGTTTAAACAAAATAGTATTATATTTATAAACTATTTATTTTGTTAAAAATATGATTTTATTAAAAACATTGAAAGGAAAAATGATGTTCTACAATTACAAAATTGTTTATCACAGTCTCCAGAACTATTAGGATAAAGATGAGATTAAGAAATAAACATCAACATTTCAAGCTGTTTCTAAGGGTCCCTTATAAAATAGTTGTAAAATTGTTATTCGAATAGAAAAACTATGGTTTGGAAAGTTAACAAGTATGTGCACAACTTCAGGCTGATAGAACCTCCTATATATGGACTCTGTCACAAAGAAGGCAGAACTACCTATCTTCACCATTTGCTGGTATGATAGGTTTAAAAACCATCTATTGAGCTTGTGGAGATCTGGAGAATATAGAAAATTTATTTGTTTACAGTTAATTAATATGGGACACAATAAGGCACAGATTTTCTCTAAAAGTTTATTCATAGAAATATGTTTTTATATTTTATCAGAAGCACTTGATCCTAAATCCAGATGAAAAATTCATAAAACGTTTCTGAAGTTAATTCCTACACCTGTTTCTATCATTCTGTTGATCCAAATAAATTAAATTTGTAGTGAATATGTCCAAAATTGTTAAACATATGTTATAATTTGGAAAATCAATATAATTTATTGATATGTTGATATAAACATATGTTATAATTCAATATGTTATAATTTTGGATTATATTTGGTGTTTCAGATGACTTATTTAAAAGAATTTGTGGAATTTCTGTTTATTATTTTTTCACAAGAATTGCATTTATCAAGCCTAACAAAGACTGTGTAACTAGTGGTTTACTCACCATCTCTATTGATTGTGTGCCAATAAAATTACCACTTTTTTGCCAGAAAATCCAGATATTTGGTTGAAACAAACAGTGGCTCAATTTTCTTTAGCCTGCACCAGAAAGGATTTAACAAAATTTAATTATTTCATTACTGAGCTAGATATGAAGCCAGTTAAAAATACTTATGATCTTTTAAAAACAAATGCAGGTGATAAATACACTTTGGGGAAATTGTCACCATGATCATCCACGGTGCTACCACTCATACAGAGTCAAGGCCTCTTGCAGCTTGGTCTGCTAATCTTTTCTATTGGTTGCTACCACTCTACAGTTGAGGATTCCCAAGATTGGAATAATGTTCATCAGTAAGCAAATGATAAGAGGATATACCACAATAGTTATGACAACCAAGCACATCCCCCTAATTGCAAATCGGGCATATAACTGCTATGTACCATTCAGAAGAATGGTCATCAATCATAAGACTTTTTGTACAAAATGAAAAATCTGAGATTTATATTCTTGGTGGACAAGGGTATGGATGTCTCTGTTATACCAGGGAGCAGTAAAAATGAAGAAACACAATACAAGTCGTATGTAGCTAATGATAGTGAAGTTGATACTTATAGTAACAAATATTCTAAATCTGGATTTGGGGCTTCAGAGAAATTTTCATTATTGCAGGGAGTGGGGTAGGTCAGTGGGTAAGGCACTGACTTCCTGAGTCTGGTAGATCTTCTTCGATAGCTCTACAGTGGGTGGGCTTTGGCTTCCTGAACAACAGCTCTCCAGATGTCCCTGTCCTTAGCCTTTTCCCTCCAGTTTGTAACTCTTAACCACCTGAGGTCATCCTCCATGTCTTCCAACCATCTTATTCTCGGCCTTTCCCTTCCTCTGACAACATAAATTCTTCCTTGGAGAATCTTTTTTGGGATTATCTCATCTGGCATTCTAAAATGTGCCCCAGCCATTCGATCCTCTGTGATTTTATGAAGCTCACAATTGAATAAATCATATAGCTCCTTATTGGTTCTAATCTTCCATGTTTGAGTTGTTTCATCGTACAACGGGCCAAATATTTTTCTCAGGATCTTCTTCTCAAAGATCCTTAACGAATTTGCTATGGTGGCAGTAATCGTCCATGTTTCAGCCGCATAAGTAAGTATGGGTCTTGTTAAGGTAGTTTACAGCCTTAATTTCATTTTCCTTGATATCAAGGATGATTTAAAAAGCTTTAAATTCGCGAAATACGCATGGTAAGAGGCCATTATCCTTCTGTGCACCTCAGTCATAATTCTGTTTTCATTATTTATTGTTGCCCCTAGATAGGTAAAGGTATTGACATTTTTGAAAACATGTCCTTCCATCACAAGGTTATGGACATTTCTTGAATTTCATGAAGCAATGGACATATACTTCGTTTTTAAATCATTTATTTCAAGACCCATAATTTTACTTTCAGCATAGATAATATTAAAAATTTCAGTAAGGGTTTGAACACTTCTGGCCACAAGAGCTATGTCATTTGCATATGCAGAGATTTGAATGCTTTAATGAAATATATTTCCTTGTGTATTTATGCTATTAACTACCTTATGTAACGCTAGGTTGAAGAGAGTGGTGGAGAGAGCAACTCCTTGCCTTACACCAGTTGATATTGTAAATGTATTACTTATTTGAGTTCTACCAATGGGTAGTTTCTCTTCATGTTGTACATATCATGTTACCAATTTCAAATTTACTTATTGTATTTTCTATGTAATACAGTTGTAAATTCCATTAAAATAATAAAAACTTAAAATAAAAATGTATTACTTTGCTATTGCTTAGAATCATCTGGATCAATCTTATTATCTTTTTCGGAATGTTGTATTCTATTAGTGCATTAATCAAGTTGGTCTTATTAATACTGTCGAAGGCTTGGCAATAATCAATGAAAAGAACATGAATTGTAGTTTTGTGCTCTCAACAATTTCTAATATTTGTCTCATAGCAGAAATTTGGTCGACTGTTCCTTTTCTTTTACGGAACCCACACTGATATTCTCCGAGAATGCGTTCAGCGTAGACATTTAGTTTCTTAGGATAATATACCAAAATGCTCAGCCTATCTGTCTATGAATAGGCTTTTCTCTTCAATTATATTGCCGTTCTTGTCTTTGCAGCTGTCCACTTTTGGTTGAAAGCCGCAGCTTATGAATAAATGAATGAATGAAAATATTTTATTATTCTGGGACTAGTGTCCCTTTAGAACAAATTACAAATACAGAATATATATTAATATTTCATAAAATACAATTAAATATTTACAGGATGATTAGTAATAAAATAAAAGTAGAAATAATAGAAAGGTATAAAAACATACTTAAATATAAAATAAACAGAGAAAGTATAACAAATAAACAAAATATCAATAATTCACAAAATAATCAAAGTATCTCGGGGTACTCTGAGATTCTTTCTCTGAGAATCTTTTGTAATGTCATAATGCAATTGGGAATACCTAAGAAAATCGCTTGAAAAGTCCAAGGAAAGGCTTTCTGTCATACTGGTGAGGATTAATTTTTTATTTAATACTCCAATTATTTACAAAAGGGTTAATTATAGAGATATATTTAATTATTTTTTGTACTGGGGATAATCTTGCATTTTGGACCTATTTTTAGATATTCTCATGTTCACGGTTATCCTTTATTATCTAGATGTCGGAGTAGAGGAATGCAATAGGCAGAGGAATGCTATAGCCTATCTACTCTATAACACAATGTTTGAAAAGGCTATTAGAGATTCGGGTATGCAAATAAGGGAAACCATCTATAATAGAACAATTTAGCTTCCAGCATAAGCGGACAATTTTGACATAATTGACTACTTGCTTGGTGCAATTATTGAAGTACTTACGGTATTTGCTAATGTGACAAGAAAATTAGGACTTAGTATTAATGAAGGGAAAATGAAATGAATGAAGGGTATTAGGAGACACTAGCTCCAAGAGAAACCATCAGGATAGGTTCCTAAAAATTTAAAAAGGTAATGGAATTGTGTATATTGGCTTATTGGAGACACAAGACAATGCTCAGAGGAGAAAAATTGATTGAGAAAAATTGAGGAGACAAATTTTGGCAGCCAAAAATTACTATTTGCCTTAGGAATCAAGAAAGAACTTTATCTTTCTATGTAAATAAAATGGTGGCACTTTAGTACATCTATATAAAACACTTATTTGGTTGATATTTAGATCATAAATATGGACTACATCAAAAATCAGTGAACAAGAACTGCAATTATTCAAGAGTAAGATTCTATATTGAATATTTGAAGCAGTAAGAAAAGATCAAGGTTGAAATAAAAAATAAAAAAAAATGATCTTGGGTTCAGTACTATTTAGGGAAAGTACAGTTTCTTATTCAAAAGTTTTGCAAGGAGGTTATTTGACTGAGATCACACTCAATCGCCAGGTTTTTACACTTCATAGAGGCTGGGTGTGCCCCAGGAGCTGATGAAAAAGAATAAATAATTCTTCTGCCATGAGTCGGGATTTGAACCCAGGACCTTGAGCACTGGAAGATCAGTACCCTCTACCACTGAGCTACCCCACTTCCTGCAAGGTTGACATAAATGACCAAATCAATACCTTTACAGCCTTTTTCAATAAATAGATGCTGCTGTTCAATGTATTGAATAACCCTGTACAAGGACTGGTAACAGGTAACATCACCAGAATGGATAAAATAAAAATGACTAAGTAGCTGTCAACAGAGCCTCTCTTCAGAAAAGGACTGCTTGGATGACCAAAGTTAAGTGGGCTCATGGTATAGCAAATGAATAAACAACTTTATTACAACAGTATGGTCATATTTCTTAGCCTAATAAGCCCTCCCGTCATTTCATTTTGTTATAGCAGTCCTTTTGCTGCTATTTCCTCGTGTATACCTACCATCCATCTCTTTCTCTTTTCCAATAGTAAATGCTTAAGTATCCTTTTAGGCCATTGGTTGTCCACCATTCTTATAATGTGCCCAAACTAAGTTAGCTTTTTTGTCTCACTGGAGAAAAGAATGTTAAGATCTTTCACTTTTTCACCTGGGGCGTTATTTAGAACATGTAATCTATATATTCTTGAAGTTGTAGGGATAGAGGAACGAGTAGTTAGGTCCCCGTAGTTTGATGCGGAGTGTGCAGTTGCTATGAATGTGAAAAATAAAGCCTACAAAATCATGGTTTAGAAGCGGCACACAAGAAAAGCCACAGAGGAGTACAGAGACAGAAGGACGGAAGAGAAAAGACTACACAGACGAAAGAAGAGAGAATGGGAAAGGTGAGAGCTAGAGGAGATGGAGGAGCAAAGGAGACAGAATAAATCAAGGGCATTCTACAAGGCGGTGAATGAGAGTAGGACATCATTCAAACCAAGGGTCTGATTATGTCGAAACGAAGACGGCTCCATGATCAAAGAGAAGGAGCAGATTTTGGCCCAATGGTCTCATCACTTTGATGCATTTCTAAACGAGGCTGCAGATGGTCCAGACGATTTCATAATCCAAAGTGCTTAGCATGACCTGGACTCCCCAGACCCACAGACATGTGAGGATGTTCATGAAGTAGTCAACAGGCTGAACAACAACAATGCCCCAGGAGAGGATGGAATTCCTTCTGAGCTTCTCAAGCATGGTGGCGAGGAATTCCAGAGAGCCCTCTGCAACATCATCCTCACCATCTGGATTGAAGAGAAAATGCCAGATCAGTGGAAGAAGGGAATAATTTATCCACTACACAAGAAGGATAATATCCTCAACTGCTCCAATTACTGTGGGATCTCACTTCTTCAGTGTGCATATAAGATTCTCTCAAATATTATCTGCTTCAAACTCCTCCCATTTGCTGAGAGGGAGATTGGTATCAGCCGGGGTTCAGAGGAGGAAGATCTACAGAAGACCAAATGTTTAGCCTCCGTATGATACTGGAAAAGTCTCAAGAGTACAGAATGATGACCTATCACCTATTTATTGACCTCCGGAGTGCATACGACAGCATCAAGAGACCTCAACTGTATGCAGCCCTGTGTGACCTTGGAGTTCCCCTGAAACTTGTCCGCCTCATCAAGATGACTATGGATGATGCTAGGTGCACTGTTCGGGTACAATCGGACCTATCACCTGAATTTGTTTCCACGCGAGGAATTAGGCAGGGGGATGGGCTTGCCTGCCTATTGTTTAACCTGGCCTTGGAAAAGGTGATATGTGACTCGGGGATCCAGACTACTTACACTATCTTTTTTTAGATAGAAAGTCAACTTTATCTTGGGACGATGTCCCTTATGAATAACAGTTATGAACAAAAAAATTAAAACTACATCTGGCCAAAAATTACATTAATCGATATTAAAGAAAATATACAGTATCTCAGAAAAAGTGTATTAAAACAAGTAAAAATAACACCATTTTGAAGTTTATCTTTAACATCTACCCAGTATCTTTAACAGATTAACGCAAATACAGGGATTTGCTGACAATCTAGATCTGATAGCACGTTCCTTAAAAGTGCATTTTTAAAGTTGGCTGAAGCTGCAGAAGCTTTGGGAATAAGTGCAAACCAGAAAAAGACAATGTATATGTGAGCAGGACCTGTAACTGAGACCGCAGTATCAGTACCGGATGTTATGGGCCCATTTACGTTCCACAATGTAGACCAGTTTACCAATCTGTGATCTATTGTAAGCTGTGGAAATAGAATATCACTGGAGGTCAACCAGCAAATAATAAGGGCAAAAATGTGCTTTTTTGGCCTCAGCAAACACCTTGGAAGCTCTGCCATCTCCCGTCATACAAAATGCCTCATATATAACACCCTCATTAGGCCTGTTCTCACATATGGATTAGAAAGCTGGACCCTCTCAGGCAAAGAAGAAAAAGATTTACTAATCTTTGAAAAGAAGATCCTGCAGTGTATCTTCGGACCTGTTAATGTCGGTGATGATTGGAGAAGGAGGACTAACAGAGACCTATATGATCTGTAAGGGGAGACAGATGTGTTGAGGGGCATCAAGCTTGAGCTGGCCACACGCCAACATCGTTGACCATTGGCCATGCCAGAAGATGAAGTCCCAAGGAACTTGCTTGATGGGAAGCTCTGCAGGACAAGAGGGGAAGGTAGACCACATCTAAGATGGGAGGACGCCGTTATCCGGGACGCCAGAGAAGTACTGTATACCCGCAACTGGCGAGCGACTGTGCAAGATAGAGCCGTCTATAGCGCCATGGAGTTAGTTAGTTAGTCTAGATATTTTACAGCTATATCTCCAACAATCCATTTCCATTGAAAACAGTTTCCTTGCTGAGTTGGTTGAGATAGTGCAGGTTTCTGAGGCATATAGCTTAACACAGTGCCTACAACATTCATTTGGAGCATAACATCCTTATTTCAAAGAATAAAGTCCATATGACCTTTCTACCTTTGATGACCTTTTTATCAATGTCTTTTTGCTGTTGCTACCCTGTGAAAGCCATCTTCCTAAATATTTAAATTGCTCAGTTAGGAACAAATCTTATTCCTTAACGTTTAGTGAAGAGTTTCCACTACTATTTAATGCCATATACTCACTTTTTGTTTTTACTAATTTCCAGGTCTCTTGCTGTATAGGCTTCCAACACCTTTGGATTAGAGTTTATAAAGAAAATGAAAATAACTTTTATTCTGGGACATGTCACTTTAGAATAGCATAGTTGAATAAATTATATGAACATTGGTCAGATTATATTCCATGTGTTTTGTCACTTATAAGTTATTATTATAAATAATTTTTGCAAGAAATAGGTATATGTTCAAGCATTAATGTGCTATATTATATTGATACAGTAGATTTAAGATCAAGTTGCTGAAGAAATGAGTATTAATTAAAGAATGCTTTGAAGAAGGAATTAATAATACAAAAATATAACCATTCTAAAAAAGATAACATGAAGAAGTTGGTAGACTGGAATCTGGTATTTAAAGAGTGGGCAGAACATTTCAGGGTGAACGAGTTAATTAAGAAAAGCGGGATGCTTTTTGGTTCTAACTAGATGACCAACCTCTGGTTCCAGCTGCCAATTGTCTCTGTCCTGTGGAACCGCCATCCAGTTTCAGACCCCAAGGGTCTTCCTAATATCATTTGCTATACTATCATCTCACTTAACTTTGGTCTTCCAAGCGGTCTTTTTCTGAAAAAAGGCTCTGTTGACAGCTGCTTAGGCATTTTTATTTTATCCATTCTGGTAATGTTACTGGTCCTTGTACAGGGTTATCCAATACATTGAACAGCAGCATTTATTTATTGAAAAAGGCTGTAAAGGTATTGATTTGGTCATTTATGTCAACCTTGCAGGAAGTGGGGTAGCTCAGTGGTAGAGGGTACTGATCTTCCAGTGCTCAAGGTCCTGGGTTTGAATCCTGACTCATGGCAGAAAAATTATTTATTCTGTTTCATCAGCCGTGGGGTGACCCTGGGATCAGGAGACCCTCCTGGGGCACACCCAACCTCTATGAAGTGGGTACCCTTAATTAATAATTAATTAATGAGAAAACCTGGCAATTACGTGTGATCTCAGTCAAATCACCTCCTTGCACAACTGTTGAATAAGAAACAGGACTAAGAAATATGACCATATTGTTTTAATAAATTTGTTTTTATATATATAATCCAAATGTTTGTGACAAAAATATAGGGATAATTTAATTCAGAGATTAAAATTACTCTTATATATTTCTAAATATTACAATTTATAAATTATAACAAACACTAACATGACTGACATACATAGATAATTGTTATCAAAGTTCTTTGAAATAAAGATTACCTCAATACCAAGATGGATAAGATCAGAATTGCTCAATTTTGAAAAATTAGCATCAGAAGAAGCAGCATTTTCCATCTGTAGAGTCCATTTTATCACCTGCATAGAATAAATAAAAGTGAATAAAAATAAACTAAAGCTTAAAATGTACAGAATAGAAATATTATTGTAATGTATCAAGGACTTCACAGTTGACACAACACGGACAATTTTAATGTATTATTTTTAATAACACTAATATTTAAAAAATCATATGTCTGATCACAAAAAAGGTTAAATACTAAATTGATATTACTACAAAAGGTTAATATACTACAATTTTTATAAATTACATTTTTCAATTTTTTTTTCACTCTCTTAATTCAAAGCTTTTAAAAATAACCATTAAATGTACAAGCTACAACAAATAATATAACGGCAACAAATAAATAAATAAATATATATATATATATATATATATATATATATATATATATATATATATATATATATATATATATATTATATATATATATATATATATATATATATATATATATATATATATATATATATATATATTCGAAGTGGATAAAAAGGGTTTAATAAATTAATGTTCAACAGTTAAAAGGCAAGCTAATCTAGTTCTACTAGTTCAGGGAAAAGAAAATAACTGCTCTGTGGTTTCCCCAAAGAAAATCCCAAAGAGGGGATGGAAGGATTTGTTTTAGCAAGCAGTTGTTGTTTGGCTGCAGTAAAGAGAGGATAGGAGAAGAGATCCTGGCTCCAGTGGGTAAAACCCAGTAATTGCATTACCATCTTGAAAGTTGTTGTTTGGCAGAAAGACTAGTTGTTTGGAATTACAAGAGAGAGAATCCCCCAGGGAGCTTGAGTTGAGTAGAAGAAAGTGTCACCATTTTAGAAGTTGTGTTTGGCAGAAGATTGGAAAGCATTTGAAGACAAATGAATTTAGTGCGAAAAAGTATCTATAGAAAAAAGTTAGCTTGCCAATTCCTACTTGACTTTATTTAAAAATCAAACAGTGTTTGGTATAGTTAATTTTATTTTGTTTGAGTGTTTTGATCTGATTGTCAGTAACCCACTTCTGAGATAAATAAATATATTAAGACTCTTATAATTTTGTTTATTATTATAACAACCTCTTATTTCTTTTGGAAGTATCCTAACGGTAAATAGTGATCTTTCGAGGTTATATTACTAGTTAAAAAATATAAGTAAGAGATATGTTACAATGAATATAGAGAGAATCACTTTACTATCATAAAAGGGTGCTGCCCAATTACATTGAGTTGCTAAAAACATAGCATACTTATTAATCACTACAGACAATTTTTTAAAACTAATATACAATTAATTTTTTTTTTATATTTATATATAAAAGAAATATATGTATATATATATTATATATATATATATATATATATATATATATATATTTCCTTTTTTTTATTTATTTCATTCATTTATTATCATTCTATACCCCTTTCTCTTCCTTCTCTCCCCTAATACATTTTTCCTACTGCTCATATTCTCTCCCCTCTCTTCCTAACCTAATTCATAAAATGCATAAAAATACATAAAGTACAGTGAACGAGTTCAATGAATAATATAAAAATGCTGCAACACAAGCATGCCTCCCATCTCATAACATAACAAATAAGCAAGGATACATACTGAAATATTGTTTACATACTGACTAGTTTGGCTCTTCACAATGTGGCTAGTTTTATATAATTACTTAAAGCTTTCCACTTGGTACCTTTAAGTAAACTAAATATTTCTTCAGGAGAACATGTTTGCTGGCCAAAACATTTTTTCCTGATCTTGCTATAGCTATGACAAACCCCCAAGAAGTGGATGGTGTCCTCTTTTTCTCCGGAGTTACATACCGGGCAGTTATCACTGTCCTCACGCGTCCACGGCTTAGTACTTAAATTAAGCAATTCTGTTCTACACCAGAATATGGACCGTATCATTTCAATATAAAAACAATTATTCAAATAGGGTAATACTGTCTCAACCGCACATAAGCCTGTATATGTAAAAAAACTCAAATGTTGAAATTTTTCAAAATTACTTTGTTTTTCTGCTTCATTCACACCATGTTTAATTGCAGGTAACTTGATGCGTAGATCAGTGACATTAGCAATATCGAGCTTAATTTGATAGTGTTCCTCGAATTCCACTCACTTCCAGTACCAAAAAACTTTCTTGTTTATCACTTATTTTGCTAGGAAGCGGGGAAAACAGAAATCCGGCATCTTTAGAACTTTTAAAATATAATTAAAGTGTAATTTCAGCGTCTAGGTTTACATAGAACTAATTACTGTTTCATGAGCTAAAGTATAATTAGGAGCATATCTCGGGAGAACAACATTTTTTTAACAAAATAATTTTTTAATTTTTCTAAAACTTCCTATTGGTCGAAACCCCACACCTGTCCAGCATAACTTATCAATCACTATCCATGAAACTGGCTTGTAAATATCTAATTTGCATCAATAGGAGACATTATTGTTATTGATGAAATTATGCCATGTAGAATTCAGCCCAAACTTTGCATGGCTAACCATTTCAAGTGAAGCTCCAAGACCAATCTTGGTGTAATTATTATGCTCAGATATATTTGTACTCATTGACCATCTGAACTGGGTTTCTTTCGAAGCACCACCTCTCAAATTAATATAGCTTGCCTCCATTACGGAAAACTATTATTTTTGATTTCGCCAGATTTATATTTAAATTCCACTACAGCAGTAATTTTTGAAATTATTTATCATTCGCTGTAATTTTACTGGAGAGAAGGCTAGTAAAACTACATTGTCTGCATACAGTAAGCACTTAATATTAATTCCTTGTAATATCTAGCCCTTTGCTTTAATTATCATGTGAATCGTTCAGAAAGAGCTAAGCAGACAGCCCTGTCTTAACCCAACCGATTTTTAAAAAAATTCTGTGATTCCTTCCTTATAATAAATAGTAGCTTTATTATCTGAGTATAAGCTCTTCAAGAAGTTCAAAAATTTATAAAACAGCCCCAAATAAGCTAACTTAAAAAATAGAACCTCCCTATCTATGCAATCAAATGCCACTTTGAATCCCACGAAAAATGCATAGACTTTATTTCGTTCTTTTGCCAAAGACAATTTAACAATACTAAACTAACTGAAAATGTGGGCCACAGTCTAGTAGCCTGGACGAAATCCTGCTTGGAACTCATTTAAAATTTCATTTTCATTCACTCAGTTCCATAAATGAATAAAATAACAGTTAATAGTTTGGTGATTACATTGATAAAGAATATACCTCTGAAATTTTTCACATTATGGACATTCCCTTTTTTGAATAATGGGAAATAACTGATTCACTGAAGCTCTGCGGGTTTTTTCCAGTGTTAAAATAATCATTGACCACATTTACGATTAAGTGTAAAACACATTCATGTGAATTTTTAAATAATTCATAAGGCACGGAATCGAGACCTGGAGCTTTATTATTATTTGCCTTTGCCAACTTACATCTCAATTCATCTAGAATGATCTCCCTATCTAACTCAAATTTTCCCAATTTGAGACGGTATACAATATTTGGTGAGTTTTTATTATAGGATTCAACAGGACGTTAAAATATTGCCTAAATATTTTTACCAGTAATATTAGATTTATTAACAAAATTTTTGGTCCTAAATTGGTTTATTAATAGCCATACAGCAAGACTGGACGCACTATCGTCTTATAAAGACAAAGCTTCGATTTTATGGAAAGAGCTCTACTCCGGAACTGCCTTGCCATAGACCTACGCCGATTCTTTTGTTCAGGCATGTTGTCTTGAATTACCAATGAGCCAAGATATACAAAAACATTAGTCTTTTCGAATAGTTACTCTCTGAAAGTCACCTCCTCTCCAGGCCTAGGCATCTCTCCCGTAACCATATATTTTGTTTTTTCAGCATTGACTTCCAAGCCAAGTTTTCTCGCAGGACCCACCAGAGCAAGAAAAGCGTCGAATACGGCCAGGAAGCAATGTCCTATGATATCTATATCATCCGAGTATGCAAGAATCTGTATATATCTATTAAAGATGTTGCCATTGGTCTGTATCCCAGCATCTCTCACTGCTTTCTCGAGTGCAAGATCAAAGAGAAGGCAGGCTAAGGCATCTCCGTGTATCCCTTGGGGTAATGGCGTAATCCCTCTATTGACTTCATAAATGGTATGATGGTAATTCCTATGATCTCTCTCCACCAATCTGAAATATGCAGCTTACGTTGTTCATTGTAAGCCTCATGAGGCTTATGAGCTTGCTAGGGATCTTAAAATGCTTTAGAGCCCCATACAATTTTTCCCTATTCATGTTACCATAAGCTGCTCTAAAATCGATGAAGAGGTGACGAGTTTTGTACGATCCATCTTCGGGATCCCAAGGGACGCCTCTGTTTCCCATTTTTATGCAGAGTTGAAATGGCTTTATCCTTCCTACCGTAAGTATTTCATGGTATCCTTCCTCTTTCAAGTCAATCCCACCGTCCCTCATAAATCTCTGAGCTCCTTCAATTCAAATCAACCCTCTGTTTGTTCCCGCAATACTCGTTCCTGGTCTTCTGATTTATACATAAGGGCCCACCGAACCGCTGCTTTCGACAGATCGTTCATTATCCGATCCTCTTCCCTATGGAACTCCATCCCTTCCCACATCCGTCAATCCAATACCCTTTCTACCTTTAAATCCCCCCTCTTCAATCATTTCTTATCCATCCAGTCCCCATAAAATTGTAAATAGATACTACTATAAATATGGATACAAATTATTAGTTCGTTCTTCATTATTTTTACTCCAATTTTTTTTATCTATTTCTTATTTTTTTATTATTAACTGATCAAAATTAGAAAATAACTTTATATATATATATATATATATATATATATATATATATATATATATATATATATATATATATATTCACTAATACTATGGAAAAATCTATGTAGTATAATCTAATAAGCTTATCTACATACCAAACAGAACTGACAATGCACAGATTTAATCCAAACTAAGTACAAAATAAATAGACACAAATAGACTAGACTTTATCTATGAATTATTTATATTCAATTATTCATCCAGAGGTATGAAATACATACAGTTTTTCAGAGCACATGATTTTAGAACAAAATTCTAAGGCAAATGAACTGAAAAAAATGTGCTATCACTGTTATGTTTGATTTAGATATTTATAAAATCAATCATATGTTAGATAGCAATGAGAAATCATTTCTAATGATTTGAGAGACTAAATGCATGATTTCAGAATCTTCCAATTATAACAACAACAAAAATTGACATTTTTTGTAAAACTACTGAAAATTGATTTATCAAAGGAAAAACAAGACTTACCCACAATGAATATGATTTTAAATCTTTGAGGGAATTAACTTCCATTAGTTCCAGTCTTTTCTCTAACAAACCACTAAGGCCGAAATATTTATGAGGCAAATCAATGCTTCTTGTTTCAAACTGTTCAGCCAAAAACTTTCCTGGAATCCATATCAAATCTCCAAACAGAGGAACAGCCAGGAACTAAATGAAATATATATACATATCAATAGAATTAAATATAAAATATAGTTAATAATGAATGTAAGCACAAAAATATAAACATTTACTGCTACAACCAATTAATATATATATTGTTATTGAAGGAAGTTAGTCGACTGTTCTATATATCATGGGTGATGAATATTCACTTCTTTATTATTAAATAAAGATTTTATTGGTGCCGACGTTTCAACCCAAACATGTGGGTCACCATCAGGGATGAAAATATTTGTTCAATATAATTAGAGATATAATATTATACGACAGATAATATTTAATAATAAAAAATTAGTGATTGATGATACATGAAATAGACAAATGAAAATTTTTTTTTTTTTATTTAATGCCTCTGCCATTGGCTAGTAAGTCATTCGGCTCCTGGCAGCCCAATACAATGCCGCCATGATTCCATTGCATCAATTTGTGCCGTTCCCATCAGAATTACAGCAGACATCTGACAGAGATGGCAAACTATGAGGTGCAGGTCGTACATCTCGTCCTCTTGGCAAAGAGAGCACACAGGGCTTTCCATCACTCCAATCCTATGTAAATGCTTTTGTAGGTAATCGTGTCCTGTTGTCATGCGGAAATTCCCCACCGATTTTTCCCTGTTTTTTGTTTGTTTCATCGGCTCCTCTGTTAAAAATTCCCATTTTTTCCCCACTGAATATTGCTTTTTCCAACTCTTATTCTCTTCTTTGTAAAAGGATTTTACAATTCCTTTAACAGATTTTCAGGGCAGCAGAGGATTAGTTTATGGCATTTCCGAGGCGATCCTTGTGAGCTCATCAGCTTTTTCGTTTCCTGGTAGACCGCAATGGCTTGGAACCCATTGGAAAGTCACTCGGATTCCTTTTTTAATTAAATTACTAATCTGATCTCTAGCACTTGTGACATCAGGATGGTCCAGGCCATTGCAGATCGACAGTATGGCTGCTTGTGAATCGACAAAGATCACAACTTGGGGATAGCTGAGTTCTTTCTCTATTGCAGCCAATGCTGCCGAAATGGCTTTAACTTCTCCATTGAAATTTGTTTCCCAGCTGCCAGCAGGGATGGATAACATAAAATCTTGGCAGTATACTCCTGCGCCTGCATTCCATGTAGCTGTTTGAGCGGAGCTGTCAGTATATATGTGGAGCCGATTCTGCTCGGAATAGCGGCTATTTATTGTTTCCATAGCAAGCGCTTTCAATTCCCATTCAGGTGTTAGGTGTTTACTTATAGGTTGTATTAGATCTAGCTGTGCATCTTCAATACATTTTTGCTGGTCATTACATTTATTAAATGGCAGACTCATGCCTAGATCTATGTATTTTTCTTCCAACAGTTCCCTAATTTTTACTTTTAGTGGTTTTTGCGTCTTGAGGCACTGGACAGATGTTTCTTGAGCAGCCCAGTACTTGAAACAAAGTACTTTTCATTCTCTCTATAAGACTAATAGCTGCCACTTCCCTCACTTGTTTGAAGTGATTCTATTCTGCTTGTATCTGGAGAGCTGCAATTGGTGTGGATTTTGCCGCCCCTGTAATCAGTCTCAAAGCCTTGTTTTGCACCACATCCAAGGCTATGTGAAATATGTAAAAAGTTATACAAACTAAAAATAATGCATATAATCAATTTATGAAATATGTAATATTTTCTCTTAATAACTGTGTTTCGAGCATTGAAGGTATTCAAGTACTGATACTTCGGTAGGTAAGTAAAAGGGCCAGTGGAGGATTTTCCAGATGTATTTTTAAGATAGCAAAAGATAGGAAAACATAGTCAGAGGGGGGAAGTGGGTAACATATCTGATTGTAGAATGCAAATAATTTGCTAACTAAATTATTCAAGATGTATACAAGATTTGAATTGTTTCTTAAAGTTACAGAATTGTGACTATTGTCTTGTAATGAAATAAACATAAATAAGAGATTCCAATCAATATAAACATAACATAGTTTGATTGAAGGTATACAATAGTTAGCCAAATAATGCTTACAATACAGATAATTGTAATGGATTAAATTGGTAAGTAGTACAATATTTTAAGAATAACAATATTTATCATTAAAAAATAAAAATATTATATTATATAATTATATTAAGGATTACATAGTTCTAATAGTATAAGTATAAATATATCTGTACCTGTTTATAGCATATATTTATATTGAGAATAGACGTTATATGTATATATATAATAAACATCGGAATAGTTACCTTTGTATGTTGACAGGGAAATGGGGAAAATGAAAAACAATTTTTAATTATTATAGACTATTGTTTTAGGAGGCGGAAAATGTTCGAATGTGTAGTCATTTTTGGTGGTTGGGAACTGTGGCAAGTATGGTTGGGTTTTAAAAATCAAATGTGTGGTTAAGGGTTATGACGTGTTCAGCTAGTTTCGAGGTGAGCAGGTTAGGTGTAGAGATAATGTATTTGTGTTGGTATATTCTTTTTTTTTAGATAATTTTTTGTTTCTCATATATAAGAAGAATTGCAGTTTGGGCTAGAGCATGTTTTCTTACATGTTTCGCCCCCAATATATTTCCTGTTTCTATCTTCAAATTACAGGCCTAATATTCTTTATATCAGCTGCCATTTTTTAAAGCAGTGGCTCTGAAATGGCAGACAAAGTTGATTTTACTCAAAATAACAAACACTTTTGTAATTTACATTCAAATCTTCTCCTGCGATCAGGTCGATTTTTAGACCCTCGCTCCAGGGCTAAAATATTCAGAATGATAAAGTGAGTAAAAATCAATCATGACAGAATGGCTTGTTTTTGAAAACTGACGCGTTAAATGGAATAATAAACCTCGTTAATTATTTTTAAGTCCATTCAAATGAGCAGTAAATGGTTGGAACTTTTTCTAAAACATTCAGGATGGCAAAGTATGTAAAAATACATTGCGAAAGATGGACTAAACAACCAATAACAAAACTGATGCGAAAAATCAATTTGGAAGAACAAAAACCAATTCAGCCATTCAATGAAAAGGTAAATGGCTAAAACTTTTTCTAACACATTCAGAATGGTAAAGTGAGTAAAAATCCTTATCTGTTCCTACCTTATTGATTGTTTTTTCCTAAAAATGTTATGAATTTCCCGCGTTACAGCGAGTGTAATCATTTTTTGTTTTAATTTCTATTGTTACTCATGTTTTGTAAAACCCATTCTACAAGTAAAATATTGTAAATTTTAAATAATTAACTATTTCTCATTGATATAAATAATGGTAAAAAAAAGACTAAATATAAGTTAAGAAAGAATTTGATAATTGAATAAAGGAGAAAATACTTATTTAGCTCGAAAATGAATCTTCGGAAATTATAGTCAAAAGGTATACGTATAATATATCGTTGGGAAACGAGGAATTTTAGAAAAAACTATATCTAATATAAAAAATCGTAAAAAGTAATGGAGAGTGAAGGAAAAAAATACAAATAATAATTTCTGAAGACTATTATTATTTAACGGATCACGTGTTTTCAAGGAAATTAAATAAAATTTACAAACTAAATGTAATCTTTTAAAAGTTTGAAAAAAGTATTTAAAATCCATCTAATCAAGGCAATGGCATTGTTTAAAAAACTATTTCATTGTACTTGTGTGAAAGAATACCCTTAAATAAATTTACTTTTTTTTTTTTTAATAATCTATTTATTAATTAATAATACAATCAACCATTGCTAGAGGGCTATAAGTATTAGGCCTAAAATTCTCATTCATACAATATATACAAATAATAGAGAAATAAATATAAATAATAATAATAATAATAAAAGGCTTAGCGAACTCGAAGGTTTGATGCTGACACCACCAATCACTTATTACACACCTCCCTCCCTCCACCGTTCGTTGTCCAAACCCAGTCCCTTCAGATCGGCTTTAATGCAATCTTCCCATCTTCGCTTCGGTCTACCCCTCGGACGCTTACCATTCGGTACAGCAAATATTAACCTTTTAAGAATTTTCTCGTTGCTAAGCCCAACAACTTTAAATTCGGCGTTGTGTAACCGTCTGAACTCTCCGGTTAACTCATCCTTCTTCGGTCCGAATATTCTACGCAATACTTTATTTTCAAAAACCTTAAGATGCTGCTCATCCCTTAATGTAAGCAGCCAAGTTTGCACATCCAAGTAAGCAGCCATAAAGAACTGTAGGCAAGATAATTGTTTTATAGATTCTAATTTTTAAGTTCCGGGACAAGTGGCGCGAACTGAGTAGTTTTGTCACCGAAAAATAACAAGCATTTCCCGACTTCAGTCTAACCTTAATCTCTTCTTCAATTTCGTTTTTTTTCTAGTTATTGTAGAACCTAGATACCTAAATTTATCTACCAGTTCAAACATATTACCATCTATATCGATATCCCCAGTAGTATCGCCATTTTTGCAGCTAACCATATATTTTGTTTTATCCACGTTTATTTCGAGTCCTAGTTTTTTACCGGCTTTAATATTAATAAATATAAATATAAAAAGTAAATAAATAATACTGATGAAGAAAGTAAATAAAAAGAAAAAAAAAGTAAACAAATAACATATTATAGAAACTTCTAAACACAATCATACCTATATACAATATATACATTCGTCGAGGAATCTCCGAGCCAGGCTTTTTCCCCCATATGTGGAAGGCAAAGCAAGACTCCAGGAGATCCCAGTGCCACTTTTCCAGCCACATCACTAGTATTAGAAGCCAGTGGAGACTGAAAGAGGGCATTAGAGCCACAGACGCTCAGGAGATGAGTGGAGAAGCTGGCCATTGCCAGGACTCCAGAAGCATATTTACAAGAGATCTCTGGGCCACTGCCGTTTTAACCTTCGTGGAGGATTGTAGGGATGAAGGGAGCTGGATAGGGATTGAGCTAGAGGATTTGGATGATGGATAAGGTTCTGGTGAAAGTTTGAGAATCTGGATGGGATGATGTCGAGGACAAATGGGATGTTAAGGTCATGGTGTAGGGTCTTATTTGTGACATAATATGGGG